ACAGACAGACAGACAGACAGACAGACAGACAGACACACACACACACACACACACACACACACACACACACACACACACACACACACACACACACACACACACACACACACACACACACACACACACACACATCACACATTAAACACGTGTGAACAGACCGACGCACTCTAATAAAATCCCCATTACACACCACCTGAGACAAACAGGAGACATTTGGGAAAGTAGATTTCGCTAAGCACCCTTCACAAGGACATTAGGTTAGCCATTAGCCATTAGCAGGACTTTAGCAGGGAGTGAGGAGACTATTATGGGGCACATTAGAGAGAAGGAGGGAAAAGGAGACGGACAGCTGCGGTCCACTGACCCTTGGCACGGTGGTCCCCCTCTTTGGGGCATTGGCCTCCCTCCCACCATCTCCTCTTCAGTATCTCCAGCCTGTTATTCTCCTGCAGCTGGAGGATGGCCAGCGAGATCTCATCTCTGAATGGAGACCCTGGGAAATGACAGGAAATCAGGATAAGAGCGAGTGGTGGAGGACGAAGAAGAAAAAAGGGGCTGCACAAGAGCCCGTTATAAGAGAGGGGGTTATTTCGGACGAGGAGAAAAACACAAGTGAAGTGTAAGAGAAAGGGAGCAGGAATCACACGGATAGATTGGCTGTTGCAGCCTCAAGATGGCTACGAGTGATTTTACTCTGAGAATAAAGAGAGGATTAGTGAGAGATAAAAGAGTGAGATTACAACCAGACCGAGCCAGTGGTACGGCTGCTGGTCAGACAGCATACAAAGCATGGCATGAACTAGATACAGTAGAGGAGAAAGGGAAGATTTAACGGCACCAGGAAAGGCAAATATTCTTTGTCAGTTAGTTTTATGCAGACATGCGGATAACCAGCGGTGTGAGCACCTGAACTGCTCAATGCTCGACAGTGTGTTCTGTACATTGTGACAAGAATGGTGTTTCTAGATTACCTATTCAAGTCGTTCCTTCTCTGGGAGGCGATACAAATCACTTCCCACCATGACAAACCTCTTCAAAAATATAATAATTGAATTCCCCACAGCAATACAGAACCCGAGCTCCTACAGCTACAATCTTAGACTCCCCTCCGAGCGACTTGTGCTAATTTAGTTGAGTATTTGATTGTGGATTTTCACATGTTTTCTCTCCATCCAGAGGAAAATGTGCAACTTCTACCAGCATATCTGTGTGCAGCCATCAAGGTGAATACAATTAAAGGAGTAGTTAAATATATGCTTATTCGCTTTCTTGCCAACACTTAGATGACAACATTAATACCACTCACTCTTAAATGGGAAATTGAAGCTTCAGCCAGGAGACGATTAACTAAGCTGGACACATCTACACTGGCTGAGTCCAAATGGTAAAATAAAATCTGTCGACCAGCAGCTAAAGCCAAGTCGTTTCCATTTGATATCTTGTGTGCTTACTTGCAGAAAGAACATGGAAAAACAACAATTAAAAGTCCAGTATTACTAATGAAACCACATTTTATGAAGCTATGGACAAACCAAAGCCGTTACGACCCGTCCACACGGCGGCGTGCCATTCACTTTTAATGGGGTGACGTCACGCTTTGCCGAACTGCATTGTGTTGCTCGCTTCAAAAGTTGAGCAATGTTCAACTTTTGAATCTTCGGCGGAAGCGTCAGCCAATCAAATCATATGCCAGTACAACCTAGCCAATCAAACCGTTTGCTTGTGTGTCCGGGGCGGGAGATTCATGTGATTGGTTGTTGGTCGAGTTTCAGACAAGCTCACCGGCAAGCTTCAACGCACGCCGCCGTGTGGACGCTGCGTTATGCTAAGCTATACTCGTCTCCTAGCTGTAGAGTATATGAAACGTATCAAGAGGGATGAATGTGTCAAACAATTTCTTTAAATGTAACTATGTTTAAAGGTTAGAGAGAAAACAAGAAACTCAGGGACATTTCTATCCCACAGGCAATAACACCGGACTCTCTGAAGCGTTACCATATGTTTATATATATACATATAAACATCTTGATTACAGTACAACGTTCAGTTTGATCTTGTTCTCTTTTACATATAAATGTATGGTGCATTTTAATTGCACCATTATATCTCCTGCTCTATTTTATTTCCCTTCTTTATGTCTTACTGTTAGTATACTGGTGTACGTTGCATTGTTGGATGTTCATTGCCAAAAATTTCTTATCTGTTTTGTAATAATTTATTACGTACCGGAGACTCAAATGAATTTATACGTGATTTTGTAATCCTATGACCAGAGTCACCATCTTCTCGTCAAATTACTTACAAAATTTGGTCTCTCGTCCTATAATACAACCACTAATACAGGTTTGTGACTTACCGATAGGAAATTACGAAGTGGGAGTTATACATCGTCGTAGGTCTCACGCAAGTAAAAATTGAAAACAATGAATAATTTATCTGATGAAGTAACCCACAAATAGACTCTCTATTCTATATGACAAAACTGGGCTCTTTTTCGTTTTATAAAGGGGAATCACAAAGTAGAACGTGTCGGAGACAACACTCAACGGAACGTAATCATTTCACAATTTCCTCACTCTAATGTCACTAAATTAATCCCCAAAGAAAAACCCAAAAGAAAGGGCAGGCGAAGTTACCACATACTGTCTCTCCACAATGACAAGTCGGCATTTCTGGGGACTCACACTATAATCTGTTATGTAGACTAACGTAACTATAAGAACGTCAAAGGACAATGTTCTCTAAGGTGAATTCTACCTTTGGTGTCGTTTCTTTTTCGATTTACTCCTTTTGAATTTCACAGCATTCATAGTCTGTTATTTTATTAAGACAGTGTGAAGACTTTACATAAGCGAGTCTAGATTCGAAATAATTTTTAGTCTGTAACTTGAAGTCGTTTGAGAACTAGTGACAATGTGTTGAGTGAATGTCTGAAACAATTTACTAACAGTTTTGTTTCTGTAACTCATACGTCATGTCCCTCCATTTGCAATTATGGATACGAACAATACGAGTCAGACCGTCACGAGTCAGTCATCGGCCCGCTCTCTCTCGCGCGCGTCGCGCATCCTAACGGCAAGTTCAGGGGCTGGTCTGGATTTATACCCTTACACCTGACGATGAACCCGGCGCCGCGCGTGGAGGACGGGACGGCACCACCGGAACTGTTACGGTGGCGCGCGCGGCGCCCCGCTCGCACGCGCGCTGCCCGCGGCGCCGCCCGCCTTCGTTATCGACGGGTGACAGGATCACGATCTGGGACCATGATCTACCCAATTTTCGTCTCTGTGTACAGTGATACACGACACACGAGACGTACACTCTGGTAATTTCTATCCAGTGGGAAGGGTAAGAATAGAGAGAGATCACACGTGACATCAAAAATTATTTAATTCTTCTACTTGTATGACATAGGACACAAAGACGGTCCACCGCCAGAACGGCAGTAACTGCGGAATAAGTCGGCCTTGCCGGACTTGAACTCGGCCGAGGTTTTTTGTTTTTCTAACGAACTTTACTGCTTTTCCTTTTTTCCGTTCCTGTAAGGGTGACACCTCCCGTTTTTGGTTACCCTAATGTAAAGACTCATTAACTTGGGGCACGGCGGGTGTCCTGTGCGCTGCCTCCGCAACGCCGCTAAACCTGCGCTACTCGCACTCGTGCACGCGACTTGCGCCGCGGCCTCGGAGCGTCGCCGTTTTGAACTCCGAAGCGCGCCATTTGACACCATTTTTTCGGCCGAGAAGAACAATCACCTCGGCTCGTTTACTATGCCGAGTGATTTTTCTCGCAATTAGGGTAGTGATTGCATTTCTCTATAATAGATGATATTCCTGCGAGTTAAGTTTTAAGTTCAGGGCACTGAGAGAGGAGCTCACCTGCGGGAGTCGGGGACCAGACCGTCTTTGTGACTCATGGATGTGAAACATCTTTACGACTATATTCCAGAAGAGATATTTGGAGCTCTTGTTGTTTTGTTTGATTAACTGACACCTCTCAGTCTTTGTGGACCGTACTCTAGTAATAAGATTGCTGTGAACATCATAGGACTACCTCCTAATGCAGACTTTTCACAGAACATGCACGGACTAAATCAAGATAGATCCCTAATCATTCATAACGTTGACCTCATTACTTTGACGCAATTACGAAAGGTGTGTGCAGCCGAGAAGACCTCTAAAAAAAATTTACAACAGAAGCGAGTCCCCAACACAGTGACGGAGTGTCACTAGGTATGATTGCTTCTCCTCCTTCTTGTTTCAACGTTTCTTTCTTTTCGGGCTCACACAGGTACTCGTATTCTCGTTTTGCGGTAGTAACCCGCCTGTCGTTCTCCTCTCCTCCAGAATATGTCTTAAATTTAGTCTCAACAGGTGCCCTTTTCGTTTGGTAATACTAAGTTTCGAATAACAAGTGTACGTGTTGCCG